AATCAGATCAGCTACCAAGGCGGCGATCATGACACACACTTGCATGAGGAATCAAAAGTACATATTTTTTCTCCGACTGTATTATATAGTGTTAGGGTTAAGTTTCCCCAACTTTAACCTATAAAAAATGAAACCAAGACAGTGTGAGATTTTCTTGACAGTGCTTTGCAAAGGGGAGACAAAGTATCAATCTCTGCATCTCTGCTTGGCCCAACACTTGCCAGGCTTTTTATTGAGCAGTCAACACATTACAACAGCAGGCGTTCGTTTCGATTACGCAATCTCTTAGACATAGCATGAAATTTTAAGACAGGGAACTTGCCTGGTTTCAGTATACGCTTTACACAAGGTGTCGGGGTTATGAACTTTCACTACTGTGCTTCTCAAATGAAAACTAGGAAAGCATTCTTGCAAAACATTTTACCGTCTAATGGCCTTTATACACTATTTCCAGTGATGAGAGTAACATAAAGAAAAACAAATGATTGAGAGCAATATAAAACATATAAATGAATAAAATGATAAAAACAACAGAAATCAAAATAACCCCAACATGTAGTGTGTTCCATCTTTGTGATTTTTGTACTCTATTTTTTAAAATCTACTATTAGAAGTTAAACAAGCTCTGATTCAACTGTTTAGCTGAAGATGTTTTTAATTGGACATGTCTGTTTTTACCTGTTCTCCAATGTTTGCTAAAGCCATCAATGTTAACTTTGTTATGTCTTACATCAGCATTCAAAATACCGAAAATGTCATAAGATGTGGATCCTGTTACTGTTGAACAGCCTCCATGAGGAAGGGCTTGCTGGATCTTTTCCCAGCTGAAAAGCTTTTAGGCATTCTGCTTTGCTTTTAGCGACATATTCTCTTGTGCACCAGCTTTTTTCTTTTAGCATTGTTCCAGATTATTTTGTCCTACTTTTTATGTTTTAGCCTGGGAGTTAAATCTGTGCTTCTCTCAAGTCTGTTTTTGAAGTTAAGGCAACACTTGGAGTAAAAGACTGACATCACACAGTCATAAATATGCAGGAGCCTGAATGTTAATAACTGTTGTCATTAAGAGGGATTTGGTAAATTATGACACTTTTTCATGCAAAGTTGACATTGTTTAAAATGTCTTTGTAATGACAGTTTTATATTATCCAATAAAGGATAACCCATCATAAGTACTATATAATCTACAGTAATTATAAACATTCAAAAGGTAGTATAAATGTGTGTTAATATTGCATTTTATTATGTAATTGGGCTGAAATTCTGTCTTCAGACCCTTTAAAATATTCTCATTAATGGCTCATTAATGGGGGGGGGGTGATCATATGGAGGGAATTTTGTTCCAATATTGCAGAGAATTCGCTTTGAAAATGGAAAATTAGAAAAATGCTACCCTGGAATGAAACTTTGAGAAAAGTTTTAATGAAAAAAAAAAAAAAAAAAAAATTTATTTTTTTTTTTTTAACACATGGGGTCCATTTTTAATTTTTTCAAACCTTTTTATCAAATTTTATATTTTAAATTTTTTTTTTTTGCAGATATTATAGTTTCAAAATGTATTTATTTTACTTTAATTGTTTTTATTACACATTTTCAGATTTTCAGAACAGACTGGCCTGAACCTAACTTAGACTAACTTGAGACTTGTAAACAATGACTTGATTTATTGGTCTGATTAATACTTATTTGTCACCAGATGTTTGAAATAAGAAGGAAAAACTCTGATTTTTTTTTTTACTATTTGTGTTAATTTTCTCTTGAGTAAGACATTTGGGTTTTACTTCTAAGTCAGACAATATTTAAAGTAATTTTCATTGTGCAGCAAAAATCTGCTCTGATTTTGTCTGAAGCGTTTTAGAGAGAAACTCTAGCTATTACTATTTACTCCAGGCTGTAGAGAGACTTAAAGTCTAGCTCTGAGAGTTATTGCACGGCAACTTATAGATGCACCTCCATCCTAAAACACCTCAGTCAAGTACGATGCCTCTGCAGAGCCAAACGACAAGCTGAAGAGGAAATCAAGACGTTTGATTCTGATGTGTTCAGGACGCATCTAAGAGCTGTAGCCTGGTATCTCTGGAGGACACAGAGGGCAGCTTTACTCTTAATGGCACCTCTTTGATAATTTTGTCTCTTCAGTTCAGCTCACAGATTTTTTTGCAGGATTTACTGTATGTCTGTGAACTGAGACAACCGTGGAGGAAGGTGGATTGTGTGTCTAATGAGGGATTTCTGACTGTATTTGCCCACAGTTTTTGGACAATTACCAGAGACTAACATTAATCAGAGAAGCCGACAAGAGGCTCACAGATTTAAGGACCTGCAGAAGCTCAGTTGGGAGCTCTACCTGCAGGTCAACAAGTATCTGTGTCCACAAATGGCATTCATGAAAGAATGGAGGAAAGAGAAACACAGAAAATCTGGTTTGAACCACAAGAGAAATGCAGCAAGCGTGTGAATGAAGGTGGTTTTCTCGATAAATGGAACCTTTTTGCTCAAATGTGAAATCCCAGAGGTGGAATAAAACCATGATGGTGAGCACATGTTTCTGTTTAACCATTTATAAATACCTTTTAAAGGGAAGGAGTTAGATTGTTTAAATTGAAGAGGTCTCCAGTAGAGCTTTGCCCGTCCCCAGCCTTCACCCATCTTTTATAACCTTAAAATTATTGTAATTGCTGATTGTTTGTCAATCCAAAAGCCTCATAAAGCATTAACTTTAAACAGCAATTTACAAAAAAGGTTGACTTGTGGATACAAATCTGTCCTGTGCTCAGGTTTGAGTAATCTAGTTATCCTTAGCATAGAGAAGAGGTGCTGTGAAGATTCTCAGTCACCCAGGTCATAGTCACTCTAAAAAAGTCAAAAAACAATCCTCTGGAATTTTTTTTCCAAGTTTGAAGACGTTTCTCTTTCCATCCAGGAAGTTTTTTCAATTAAAAATGTCAGAAATAGCGTTGAGTTCCAGGCTTTATAGAGTGGACCAAAAACAAAGCCTTGTTTTGGCTTATAAAAAATGCAAATAGATTAGGATTGGGGGTCCTTTGGCTTCTTTTGTTAGCCTGCAATACCGGATACCTGTCTATGTCTCTGAAAGGGGGTTTGTTAGGGGGAATTGTTGGCCGGGCTGAATAGGCGAGGAGACCTGAGAAGACCTCGCCTATTCAGCCCGGAATAGCGAAGAGGTGCTCGCATCATTATGTACAAATCATGATAGATGATGATGCACTTTTTTTTATTTTTTTTATTTTAAGAGAACTATATTGTCCATCACATTTCCAGAAACAGAGATTTGTCTTTAAACCTCTTGCAACAGTTAATTCCAAAACCACATAAAAATAATAGATAAATAATAATAACACCACACACTAAAAATTATTCCATAAGAGTTAAAATTAAAGGAGCAATTGAATAAATAAGTGTAAACAAACAAACAATGATACTAGCAGTGATTAACTGCCAGTGGCGGTTCTAGAACAAATGTACCAGGGGGCCAGGAGGGGACCAGCGTGTTTTCATGGGGGCCCAGAAAAGCATGAAATAAAAAACAGGGCAAGGGATTCAAATATGTTAAAGGCACACTATGCAACATTTTTCAGTTATTTAATGTGTTCCATAATGTTTTGGATGATTAAGTGAGTCATTTCAGGTTGAACAAAGGTTTTCTCGGCCGCCCTGGTGGTCTGTGGGGGAAATACCGCACTTGCAATNTACCTTTAAGAGAGCTGCATGAAGTTAGATCTCCATTCAATTAGATTTAATTAAAATGGTATGTCTACCAACTGAAAATATTTATTTTTGGCTTGAAAATTATTGTTAAAATAAAAATAAAAATCTCTTAGCATAGCAAAAAAGCAACAAAAAATATTGTAGCTATATAAATATCTAAATGATCTAATAAAGCTATTATTTGGAATATTAGGTCAATATACATTCATAATTTTGGAATTTTACATATTTTTGACTTAATTTAAGTTCAAATTAAAGTTTTCTATAAAATCAGAATTAAAACTCAAGAATAGCTTATAAATTCAGCTGTTTTTTAATTTGTTTTTTATTTTGCAGATAAAAACTGGGATCCTATCTCAGTACCACTGAAGCCTTATTATAACCTTATTGTTTTTAAATAATTAGTAAAACAGAATTTTTTAAAGAAAAAAAATAATGAAATAGATCCAAAGGACCTATCAGTAATCTTGTCTGTTCCAGCGCATATCATGGCGGCATCTACAGGGGCACTGGCCCCCATTGGCCCTTGTCTAGAACCACCCATGTTAACTGCAGTATTCCTTGTTCAACCAAGTCGTAACAGAAGGAACAAAGAAATATTTATAGCTTCTCTTAACCTAATTATTATTAGCTCAATATGAGAACAGCTGCTGTCAAAACAATATATTTTTTAATTTATTATTTTTCCTATACTGTGTGTGGAGATGCCTATGGTGTGGATGCTGCTGTGAGTTTTTATGAGGAATAACCAGGGGCACTGCCAGGAATTTGGGGCCCCATGAAAGACACTGATATTGGGCCCCACCCTAACAAAAATGTATGTAAGCTTTTAAACGGTTATAAAGATATATTGATCTGTTTCATCCAAAATCGATATTTGAAATGACGCATGTGTGGCACTTAACCCCCGGTACGAACAAACTGCTGGTGACAGACGAGGAGACTTGACGCGATGCAGCACTGGTCAATATATTCATGCTTTGTTTCGCTGTTTACTGCTTAAAAATCAGGGAGAATATGAAAATAATTCATTTCACTCTGAGATTTTATTTTTATTTTTGAAAAGTATAGCAGGATATTTTTTTTCTTCTTCTTTTGGGGCCCCCCTAACTCAAGGGCCCTTAGAATCTTCCAAACTCTCCCCCCTTTACAGCACCCCTGGGAATAACAGGAAATATTTGAAGCAAAAACAAATAATCCAGAGCAGAAACAAAAGAGCAGGGAGGGAGGATTGCTGTTGGAGAACTCGCACCTCCTCTGTTGTGATGTGACAGCCCCCCCTCCTCCTTATCTTCCTCCTCCTCCGTGTCTCTCCCACATCTCCATCACTCCGGCTGCTTCCTCCCTCCTCATCCTCTGCTCTCTGCCTCTCATCCAGCATCATGCTTCTAACGTGAACTCCGTCAACTTGTGCAGGCTGTGTTTTCCTCTTCTGGACCGACTGAAGCGGAAAGCTGGTAGATGCTGCGAGGAGGAAGAAGGAAGGAGAAACCAGAGGCAGACGCTTGCATCCTTCACTGAGTGCCTTTTGTTTAAGCGGAGCAACAGCATGGATCTGTCCTTCATGGCCGCGCAGGTGAGACTGTTTTCCTGCTGGCAGATTGGAGGATTTTCTGAACTTTGCATGAATTTGTGATTTAATGGGTGTGGCTGGTCAACAAGTTCCAATCGCCTACTTATGTCCCACGGCTTTCTGTGCATTGATTCTACCAGCTGGATTATTTATGCCAAATATTGGGGAGTCCTGCTGTTTCTGTAAACTGATGAGCTCCTTCCTCTCAAAGTTTAATAGGCTTCTGTTATCATCCTAGTTCAGTCTAACTGGATTTCAGTTTAATCAGGAACAGAGGCAGTTCTAGACTAAACATAGGCTGGAAAAATGATCTAGAAATAAGTAAAAATTTCTAAAATCAAGTGTATTTACACTTAATTTTAGTAGGTGAATGAGGTAGTTTGCTAATGGAATGAGTATTTTTACTCTTAAAATAACATAATTAGATATTATGCACTTGAATTAAGAGACTACAGTTGTTTTTTGTTGTTATTTTAAATGTACATTTTTTTGTTCCAACGTCAAAGTGTCTCACTTACCTGCTCAGTTCAAGAAAAAATGCAATTATTTTAGGAAAAAATCTACTTTACATTTTTTGCAGTGTAATAAAAGCAGTCTGTGGCTTATTGGCAACAACAGGCATCAAAGGGTTAATTAAAATTTTGTGTTTTACTAAGCCAATATACATTCATAATTTAGGAATTTTACATATTTTACACTTAATTTAAGTTAAAATTACTGTTTTCTATTAAATCTGAATATAACTTTTTTTTTTACTTGTTTTGAAAAAAATATTTGGGATCCTATCTCAATACCACTGAAGCTATCGCCTTATTGTTTTTAAATAATAAGTAAAACTGAATTTTTAAAGAAAAAAAGTGAAATAGATCCAAATCAGTAACCATTTCTGTTCCAGCACAGATCATCATTAGAATTTCTTTGAGTATTATGTCTTCACTACAGGGGCCATAACAGGGGCCAGGGCATGATCTACAGGGGCAATGGCCCCCATTGGCCCCTGTCTAGAACCACCCATGATCAGGAGCAACATACTTTGTGTTTTAATAGTTTTGAAATGTTCCATTTTCATCTCTGGTTCATTTAATTACACTAATTCACATTACTATAATTTATGCAAATTGGTAAGGGCTTTAGATTTAATTGGTTCAATAAGTGAATAGGTGCTCTTATGCATCTCATTGCTGGTTTTATTTAGTAATATAGTTTGACGTTTTTACAGTTGACTAAAAATGTTCATCATGCCTATTGTCTTTTGTTTACTTGATTAATTTTTTTTACTTATTGTTGCACACACTCAGTTGGCTATAAAAAAGGAACTCCACATTTTTCATATTAGCTAAACAGAATACCTTATTTTTAAAGAAATGTTTAGGTAATATTTATGTAAATTGTTCTATCTAACAAAACTCTATAAAACACTTAGAGGACACTCGGTACAGTATGTGTGCTTTACCAGGTTCTGTTTTCAGCTACACCCTTGGTTGAGAAGATTGGTCTTTTAATTAAGCGTGAGCTATTTATATAAAGGAAATAAAAAGATGCAAAGAAATGTAAGTTGTTTGTAAGTCGTAAGTTGTTGGCATTTTGAGACGTGTCTGTGGTTCATTCAGACTGTGCGATAATGAGAGAAAGCAAGTGTTAAAGGAGATAATAGGAAGGTTAAAGTTATAGAGGAAGATCTTTTATTTCCGGATGTCAATCATCCTGGTGAGATATTTACGTAAGGCCGTCCTACATGCTGGTCCAGTTAGCTATCTTTTTCACTTTCAGGCGTATATCTATGGTGAGCTACAGTTTCAGTCATTGAAGCTCACCTTTCTCACCGCGGTTCTTTGAAAATGGCCGAGTGTCGTAAGAGAAGAAGTGTCTACAAAGTTTATGAGAAGAAGAGAAAGGCCTCAGAGGAGGCAGATATATCCCAGAATGCTTTGCACAGATAGCTCTCCTTGCAAAGCCTTATGGGATTTGCTGTCACAGTGGCCCGCTGTTGCCATAGGCTATCGCTACCTGACAGCTGCGACTAATAACAAAGATGGCGAAGGCACCGTGCAGGAGGGTTTGCGTGACCAACGAAGCAAAAAGTAGTGATCATCTGTCTGAACGGTCAGTTAATAGAGTTCACTATAAAGTTCACTATATAGTCCCTGCTGTATGTGGATGCAGTAAGCTTGTGTGAGCTATGAGAACAGCACATTTTAAACAGGGCGTGAATGAGGAGAAATGGACTCATGCACGTATGTAAAATAGTTGCCATCATAGATTTGTGAAGCTGCTTTTGTGAAGCAGGAAGCAGGGAAAAGACTAATACAAAGTGAATCCAGTAGAACTTTTTATTGCCTACCTGGAATGGGTGACAATAGTTGAAGAAACTTTTGCCTCTTAAAATGGTATTGGTGCCCTATTTGTTGGTACTCCCAGATACCGTTACCACCTTTTTAGTGCTGGTAGGGGCCCTGCTCAATACTGGCTCATAGTTCTTTTGTCTAAAAAAAAAAATATTTTCACAGAACCACCTGTTCAAAATGACTTCCAGCTGCTGTGTAGGATGACATGTACTCGCTCAGAGAAAATGGGAAAAAAGATTGGCTAAAGAAAACAAAAAAATTCTAAAGGGAATTTATATATTTTAATTAGTGTCTGTATTAAACTAAGCATAGCAAATAAATGCCAAAGATATTACAATTGTTGCCTTAAATAAAATATTTCTGGAGCAGTAACAAGTAAATTAATGTTCTGTTTTAATCTCTAAAGGAAAGATCTTTAAATGTTGGTGTTTTTCCTCAAATATTCATATGTTATACAAGGCTGTGTCTATTTTAAGGCTGGTTTATTTCCATTTAGACCTGACGTGATTGCCTTTTCTTCCTGCCCTCACGCCTCACCTGCTGCCTTGAAGAGAGCAGTTTGTTCGGCTCCATACTTAGCCACTCTCCATTCAGCTATTAAGAAGCTCGGTGCATTATTTTTTCTGCTAAGGGCTGTTCAGCAGGGCCACATGCTCCTAAATCTTTTTAAATCAAGGCTGTTTAAATGGAAATGCGTTGGGGCGTGGGCTCATCTGAGAAAAGGGTTGCTCACAAAGACCTGGCTTACCGAATAATAAGAGGTCCCTAGAAGGATGGATAGTTTAAGTGTTTACACTGTTTCTATAAGGCAGGGTTAAGTCCGGGAGAAACATAATAATTAATATATGTAGAAGTAACTTTTTAAGTAACTGTCAGTCTGATAAGAATGTGAATTCTAGTCTGTGGAGGAGCAACAGAGTCACTGAAGAAGAAATACAACTATTTCAATTAAATATTTAAATCATACTGTTCAATTTCCAGTCAGAAAAAAAGTTTTGCAGTTACAGCTGCTTTCTGTATCTCTGCTTCTGTCTCCTTGAACCCCAGTCGGCCTCAGCAGATGGCCGCTCACACTGAGC